TTTCTTGTGACAATGTTATGTTTATCCGGTCAAGCTATGCCCTTGCTAAGCCGTGAGTATTTTATACTCGGCTTTTATTTTTGATAGCAATACTAAGTTTACCCGGCCAAGTTGCATACTAGTTCAACCATGAATATTTCATAATACATGTTTTGTTGTACTTTATAGGGGCATCACCATGTTCATCTAACCAAGCCATGAACAAGAAAATTATTTAAAAAAAAAATCAATCTTATCATTACTAGCTAAGTGCTCTAGATAATTTTTTTTTCCTTTCAAAAGATTGTGTAAAAACTTGAAGAGGAGCTAGAGAGCGCTTAAGAACTGATTTTCTCTCTAAGTATTTGTTTAAAATAATGACGTTCAAGATTTAAACAATTCTAAAACTAATCCATATTTTTTTTAAAAAAAATTCTATATGATAAGATTATTACTATTATCAAGCATGATTTTATACCTGATGAGTCTCTTTATTTGAGAGTAGCCTTTTTGTTAAATTTTAATTAATAAAAAAACGTTAATATACTTAGCTAAATTTTTTAGCAGAGAAGTAGTAGGTGAGTGCATCTAGTATAACAATTTAGGATTATTTATCTCGTTAACGGGAGAGTACACCTAGCAAGAAATTCGAGGATTACCTATCTATTAAAGAAGTGAGTACACTTAGCGAACACTCGAGGACTATCTATGTTGACATGGGGATAGTAGGGGGAAGCATGTGAAACGAGGAGTTACCACCTAGCTAATTGGAAAAAAACTAGAAAACTCTAAACAAACATGTCAATAAAGATATTTGAGTTAGGAGTCGATTACATATAAGAAAGATATAACATCACCGTCATGCCATCCTAGCTAAGGTAGGTTGTATTGTTTACATGTAAACATAAAATTTTGGTTTTTCTATGTTATATTTTTATGCCTACTTGAATAAATTTATTTAAGCAGGATGGAATCGAGTAATTTGGATTTTAGGTCGATATGAGGTCGATAATCATACTTAGGTGGGAAAAATTAAAATTTCAGCTAATCCTTAGCAAACATGACCTATACTAATAAACGAGATGAGTTTCTAAAGATCAATAGTCTTTTATTAATATAAGCAACGAGTCACTTACAACTTCACCCATACAAGTGAAAAGTCATCGATGACTTTGAGTCATGGATTTATGAAGTTGTCGACAACTTCATCATATAAGTGAAAAGCCATCGATAACTTCATTTTGCTCTTAATAAGAAGTATATAAATGATTTGAAAGCCATTGATGACTTCATCATATAAGTGGAAAGTCCTCAATGGCTTCATTTTAGTTAAGCATACAATGAATAAAATAATTTTAAAATCGCCGATGACTTTGTCTCACAAGTGGAAGTCACCGATGGTTTTGTTTTGATAATTTACAAATTAAGTGAAAAATAGTTTAAGAGCCACCGGCAGCCTACATCCATATAAGTAGAAAGCTAGTGGCAGCTTCATCTCAATAAATAAATAACATGCGATAATTGATCGAAGCCATTGACAATTTCGACCACATAAGTAGGAAGCCATAAAAAACTTCGTTTATGCAAAAAAATAACATGCAACAATCATAATCATTCATAATGCAATATTTTCTCACCCATTTCAAAACAACCTAAGTGAATTTAATAGTTACCCAAGCATCGTGAAAACATTGAGATGTCTTTCTCCGGATTAGCTTGTTTCCTTCAATCTCGATCAAGACTAGTTGTTTTAGTCAATTGAAAAGGAGGAAAAAACCATTATGGGTGTTGAAGAGGCTTCTATGTAGTGATTAAAATGCTACCGCTCGCTTACAAAATGACTAAAATGCCCTTATGAGTGAAATGACCAAACAACCCTTACATTGTAAAATTATGAAAATGCTCACGAAAGGTAAAACGTCAATCGCCAACCGACCATTTGACTTCCAATGACCCTTCATACACTTGGACCACCTCGCATTAGAGAGGAAGTCATCCCAAATCTAAAGGTGGTGGAGGCAGCGACATAAAACATCAAAAGAGGGAGATCAAAGCCTTAAAAGTTTTGATCGAATCTCTTTCTCTCTCCAACGATGATGTTGGTAATAATTTATGGTTTCAAGGATATCGATCGACTCGTGAGACCGAGAGAAAAGTTTTTGTGGTGGTTAGGATGTCCGATTTGGTCCCGATTATCAAAATTTTTAGGTTTTTTAAAAAAATTTAGAAATAAATCTTCATTAATTAAATCATTTTTTTAGTGATGTTAGGCTATGACTTCAAGGGGAAAATGCTCAAAGGAGTCGAATAGCTAGGTCTTTGGTGGTGGATGTTAGAGATTTGGTCGAAATTAAAAGATACAAGCTAGTCTTTTAATGGGTTGGGTCATGGCGGTTCAAACTCTAATTTTTCCCTCCTCCATCGTCATCCGTTCCCGTAATTCATAAGGATAGGCCGATCTAGTAGTGGGCTATTCGTGGGTGATGATGATTAAGGTCTAAATTAATCGAAAGGTGGTCGATTTAGAGGAGAAAGATTTGGTTGGGTAAATGAGTAAACGGGTCTAGTGTTAGGTAAAGGTGTGTTTGGTTGTTTTCTCTTTTGTTTTTATTATTTTTTATGTGGAGTTTTTTTATGGTTTTTGTGGTTTTTGGGTGGAGGAGGGTGGTCGGAAGCATGAGAGGTGTGGTGGTGGTTGGTTAAACAAGGAAGGAGGTTAGTGGTGGTTTTGGTGGAGGAAGATGACTTGGGTAATGGGAAAATATAATATTTTTATTGATTTAAAGAGTTGAAAAATATTGCAAACCAGCTAGAGTGGAGAACAAGCTACTCGGAAATTTGAGAGAGATGGAGGCTTTTCCGTGTAAAGAGAAAAGTTAGCTTTTGTAGGTAGAAATTAGGATTTTGGGGATAAAAATTCGTTTCGATCCCCGATTTCACCTAATTTGTCAAATTAAGCCAATGTTTGATAAAAATAGAAATTAAGTACTAAATCGTTAAGTATTGAATTTTAAGTACTTGATAATTAAATATTGATTATATTGTTGCCAAATTGTTTAGTATTTACCGAAAATTAAGTGTTGAATATAATAAAGTTGTTTGACAAGTACTATTCGTCGAACATATTAAGGCTATATACATGATAATTTTAACCTTGCAATTGTAGCATGATATTTTTTAACATAAATAAAAATATATACATAGATGTGTTTGTGTGTATAAAGAAATAAATAAAAATTTAATAAAAATGATTATTAATAAAAATTAAACACTGTTCGAGATATCATGAATTGTCATATCATGCATAAAATAAATGAAATCTCAAATACTAATCAATTTATTTGCAATTTGGTCTCGTAAATTAATCACAAATATTTGAAACAAAGTTAATCATAAGAGGCACCAAAAAAAAAAAAAAGAACAGAAAGCTTTTTTTATACACATGAAAGAGGTGGTGAAGGCTTAAATGTAGTACTCGTATTGGAAGAGATGGTACGAGTCAACATCCCCAATACTTTTATTCATAAAATCAAGAACAGAGAGCTTTTCCTATTATATGAAAGAGCAATAACTGGAAGCTAACTAGAGTCTTCTCTTTCTAGAAAGCATAACAAAATAATATAGAATAAAGTAAGCAACAAGCTAGTAAAGTTGAAAAAGAATAATAAATCAATAGCTAGATTCAAATCATATCATTTTGGTAAAGAAATTCAAAACATCATGCATATATATATATATATATATACAAAAATAAAACCAACGAGTTTTCAAACACATAGTGATAAACTAAAAGATAGTTAATGATATCACAGGAACACATTTTGTCAAATTATATAGAATCCATCACCAGTTGAAACATAACCATGCATAGCATAAACATAATCGAAGGTCATGTGTTCATGCAAATGGATTGCGAAAACAAATAGCTTATCCATGGATAAAACAATCAACATCCGTCTCTTAGCTATCAATTCTAATCGTGACCAAACCTATACCGATTCAAGCATCGCTTCACAAATCCCTCAATCAAGGTTGTTTAGGCAACGAGGACAATGAACCCCACTTGTGTTAAAAGAAAGGTTTCCTAATCATGGAAATTACCTTTAAGGATTAAAACTTTTTGGCATAAAACATTTCCAAAATAAGGATATAAAAAATGATGTTGTTCTTATGCATGTCATGCCCGGGCAAATTGTAAACAATGCACCGGCAAATCTAATCAAGATGCTTACTTGGTTTTCTTTTAATTAGTAGCTTATTAACGATAATGGGATGGAAGCTTCGATAATAAAGAAGGTCTTCTCTGTTTCTGCAATAGGGATAGTAAAGATCGTTTCTTGTTTGTATAGCTAGTATTATAAGAATATATGAAAGTTATATAGTTATATTTAAAATGTTTTAAATTTTTTTCAACTATACGTGTTAATACAAAAGTTTTACGTTAAAAAAACTTTAACTTATCTAATTAAGTAGATTTTGATCGAATTTAAATTTTAAATATGAGATTATTTAGATTATCAAATAAACTTTTTATAATAAGTATTATAATTTAATTTTTAAAAATTTTTAAATATATTATCAAACACATTTAGTCTCGAAGCACCCTAACATTTGCGCTCAAGTCATGCTAAAATAAGCTCATTCTCGGGGTCAACAAATTTATTAAAAAAAAAAAAAAAATCAACTGGGGAAAAAAAAAATCAACTAGACTTGAGGAGTCCTAAATCCATGGGCCTGTAAAGTAGGTTTTCCGGCTGGCACAAGCCCATAGTGCACTTTCCAGATTCTTTCTATTTATTTATTTACATATTTTGAAGAGCAGCAAGGGAGCTCTGTTTTATTTTTCCGAAAGTGGAGAAGATGAAATAAAAAACGAGAAGGGTGCCGTCTATCGTGTCCATAGCGCAAGGCAAAAAACGAGAACGGGTAGTAAGCACAGTGATATTATCAAAGGAAAGGAATCGATCGATCAATCCATATAATCAGCAGGCAGCAAATTGAATTGAAAGTAAATAAAATCGATGGGGAAGAGAAAAGAACGCCGCCTTGCTGCTTTGAATAACACTGGCCGACGCGTCAAGGTCGATCTCTTCGCGGAACCCTCTGGTAGACACCTCTCACTCTCTACGTAATGATATTTGTTGCTATACATGTCCTAAAAATTTCAATTTCTATTACTGCTAGGGTTTGGTTTGTCTTCTCAATGCTAAATATTCGTTATTTTTGTGTTTGAGAAGCGAAATCTTGCTTATAATGCTCAATTACTTGGTAGTTGAGTTGTTAAGGAGTCAAAACTAACTTGAGGGTTTTTTATTTGGTCTGTATGTATCGGTTATTCTTTGTTTCATCTGAAATCTGTAACGATTGCATGTTTGTTATTTGTTAATGAAAAGGAAGCTGACAGTTTTGCTCTATTTGAACGAGAATATTAAGGTTCTGAACTTGAAATCTTTTTAGAGAATCTTACAATGTCTTAGTCTTTGTTGGTGCTACCCTATGGGAAAGCAATTGCAGCTGAGTTATTATTTTAATCTTGGACAGTTTGTTGATGTTATTGTACTTTCTTATTTTGAACGATACCCCACACAATGATTCTTTCTTATTTCTTACATTTTTCTTCATTTGGAGTTAATGGCAGTACCCTAGTTAGATCCTTTGTATCTTATTTGGTACATGGATTTGTTATAACCTTACACCTTTTTTAACACTTGTTAGGAGATTTGGGTGGCTCCTCTGTAAATAATGGAGATGGAGGGGATATAGATCCGTCCCAGCGTGCTGGATTACCCAATTCACCATCATCTTCAGGTGGGTTCCATCAGTTTCTTCAAAAGGATTATGTAGAGAGGGCATGAGTTTTGGTGGCATATTATGTTGTTTGCTTCCAAGTATTGTTTTCAGAATTTAGAGTGGCTTTGGTTTTCGGAATACCCATATCAGATCAGGTCGGGCCCTGCCAATGTGAATTTTTGAATGACTTCCATTGTGTATCCGCTATTTCACAGCATCAAAGCATTTTGGAGATTACGTCTGGAATATTTTGCTATCGGTTCGTATGTTTCTGGCTTTTTTCCCCCACTTTATGCCTCCACTGACATTTTCTTTCATGTGTAACAGGTGGCTATCATCAAAATACTTGGCATTTTTTGTCAAATTCATTAAATTGTTCTCTCTTTGTTTTTCTTTGGTGGCCAGTAGCCTGGTTTTGCATGAATATAAGTGCCTTTGCTTGTTTAGGTTCTGATAAGTTAGTTGTTGCTTATTAGATGATGTTTTGGTTTTATAGTATCTAATTTTTTCAGTATCTTCTCTTCAGGTCAACCACCACAGAACCCTCTTATGTTACTTGGGCAATATAGTGATGATGATTTAGATGAGGAATCAAGTATAAGGCTGGATGGTGCTATTGCAGTGAATTCCCCAGCTGACCCTAATGACCAGGTAATTTAATGGATTCTACAACATAGTTGGTCTGAGTGAGGTAGAGTGTAATTGCTTACATGTTTCAAAAGCTGGCTTGAACTTGGTTTAAGCCACCAGAGTCCTTTGCTGAAAGTGCAGAATAATGCTGTTGCTAAAATTGGTTTGCAATGTTATCTGATTTCACTGTAAAACCTTTATAATTACCATCGGAACTCCAGTTATTATGTCAGGACAACTTATTAGTGATTGTTCATAAATTTTTCTGTTTAAATTGTCTTTCAAATTTTGGATTATGGTTGTGGCCCATACCTTTCAGTACACAGGAGATATTATATCCAAGCTACAACTGTGTTTTTGAACATCAAGTTTTCTCATTTCCCTCAGACTTTCTCAAGAATAAACTCCGGTTTCATTCTTACGTCTACTTCTGGACTGTTATGGTCTGTGTTAGTCTGTTGCTGTTTCCATACAGCTTGTTCAAGTGATATTCTACTGCATAAAAAAACTTTATTTACGCTTAGGTATCCTTACTACATTCCACACACATTGAGGATGTGCGTGTTTGTTCTGCTTCTACCTATAATATTAAATATTCATTTTCGCTCTGTTTAACTGCATTACTCAAAGCACTTAACGTTTGCAGGAGGCGCCTCTTGGTGAAGGAAAAGATGGAAATGCCTGTGCACTTGAAGATGTCACCGCACAGAAAGTTGATCAACAGGACACGGGGAGAGATTCTATGCCAGTTGATGTTTCACAGGGCCTGGAAGGTGGTGATATTAGGGAAAGCGACGCTACTGCCTCAGCTGATACATTGAAAGAAAAGGATTCCTTGGAGCAAATCTCTGTTGCTGGAACTCCTAATGCACAGGCTATTGGAGATGTTAGTGCAGGCTGGAGGATGGTAGTGCATGAGGAGAGTAATCAGTACTATTACTGGAATACTGAAACTGGGGAAACTTCCTGGGAAATACCAGCTGTTTTGGCTCAGCAAAATCAATTAACCTCTGATCAGAAGGCATGTGCTGCTGAATATATGCAGACTGTTCATGGGGGTGCAAATTTGTCTAGTTCAACTTCAGCTGCTGGATTGGATAATCCTTTAGCTGCATTATCTGTAGAGGGTTCAGCAGGTAATGATTTGATTCCTCAAAGCACAGAAGTGCATGGAAATGGGCCACAAATGAATGACTGGGTTGAAGGATACAGAAATGAATCTGTGAAAGATGAAAATTGGGTTGCTGAAGCTCTCCAGAGGGAAATGCCAAGTAACTTGACTGCAGTTAATACTTCTTTGGGTGATGGGAGTTCAGTAGTTTCGGAGCATAAACATGATGCACTAACTAATGACCATAGAGGAATAGATCTTTCAACTAGTCTTATGAAACAATGTGAGAGATTGTTGGAGAGACTGAAGTCACTGAAAGGGTAAGGAGTTTATGATTTGCTTTTATTCTTCACTGCATTGTTTATTTGCTTTTGGCTTTTAATAAGGCGTTATTTGTTTGCAAAAGATGGACTTGTTAACTCTGTGTTCATTTATTAATTGTCTTGCTAATCCTTAACCTATGTCGTTTAGGTATGGGAGTCACCTGCAAGGTCAGGACCAGATGTCAAAGTATATTATAGAAGTAGAGATTAGACTTTCTGATATCAAGTCACTTTCAACTTATGGATCACCTTTGCTTCCATTCTGGGCCCATTGTGAAAGGCAGCTTAAACAATTAGAAGATGTCATTAACAATGAAATTTACCAGCTTGCTGTATCAGCACAAAGGGATGACGATGTTGAGGCAACTGCTGATGATTCTTTTAAAGAAAAGGAAAAATCTCAAGAAAATTTGGGTGAAAAATCTGAAGCAGATGCACATGAGAATAGTACAAAATCTGAAGTTTCTCCTGTTTCTACTAGTGTTGATAGTGATTCACATAATAAAGGTAATTATGGAAATAACCATCCCAGCAATGTTCCTTCTGGATCCCCTAGCATGCATTTGGAAGGAGGTGCTCCAATTAATGAAGAATTGAATGGGACTATTCATTTGAATTCTGAGTTCCATCCTGCAGAAGATGTTGACATGGATGTAGATATGGAAGTTGAAGAGGGAGAGTTTCATCCTGCAAGCATCACTACTTTTGGAGATGCTTTGAGTGCTGAAGATTATGGACAGGTTGAGAAAATGGTTCAGTCAAATCCACCTGCAGAGCACCTGTCCTTGTTGTCGGGAGATGTATTAACTGTTCCGCCTCCACCAGATGATGAATGGATTCCCCCGCCACCACCTGAGAATGATCAGGTCCCTCCACCCCCTCCTGATAGTGAACAATTTCCTCCACCCCCACCTGACGAGCCTCCTGAATGCTCATATCCTCCACTTCCATCTTATCCAGAGACAGGTCAACCTCTCCCTTACGCAGAACAATACAACTTAACCTATCCAGACCTCAATTTCCAATACTATGGGCATACAGTTGCTGTCCCAAGTTGTAATTTTTATGGAAATACTGATGGAAGTCAGGTTGCTGTGCCACATGCATCACTTTACTATGCGGCGACTCCCAACACATATGTTGATACTGCCTCAGTCATTGTCAGTTCTGTTCAGCCAGTAGCATATTATAACGTTCAGGATGGATCAGCACCTGTGCCTGTTGTTAGTGGTGTAGTATCTTCTCAGTCACATATAGAAGCTGATCCTGTGAGTTATGATAGCGTTGCTTCTGATCAAATAAAGGCAGGTGATGACTCTGCAACAGAGCTGAATGTGAAGCTTGGTGGCTCGGCTGTTGGTGTCGAGACTGATTTGGCATCTGAAGTGGTTTCTTCTACTCTGACCACCACTGAAGCTCCTACTATGGCTAGAGCAAAAGAGACCGCTTTTGCATCATCAAAGAAAGCTGTCACTGCTACTGCTGCAGCTGCGCCTGCCTTGTTAACAGGTGCCAAGGTTCAAACTAAAGGTATGTATTTCTGCACCAAAGATTGTCTTGTTTTACTGAGGTTGGGTTTTCGCAAGGCTACGAAAACCGTACTTTTGCTCCCTGAGTTGCATAATAATTTTGTTGTGGGAGTGAACACAAGAAGAAATGAGAGTGCAGGGTGAATCCAAAATTCTGCAAGAGAATGAGCATAAAATTCTTCAAGAGAACATCTTGAAAGTTGTTTCTTTTTATAGACAATAAGTAACATGTTAAGTAATGTCTTTAAGATGTTATATGTTTGTGATTCTGAGTGAAAATTTTGCTCTCTGAGATGTATATTGGCTCCCCTCACTGAATTGTGTTAACTAGGTTGTTCCAGGGAAGTCCCACTAATTGGTCTTGTTGCTTTATCTACTAATTAGTACTAGTAATTATCTATTTTGAGCATTGAATCATAGCCATAAAAAAAAAAAAAAAGTTTTCAAGGTATCTTCTCATTATATTTCTGGTAGTTTATAAGACATGCTCATTTTGCAGCTGTCTTTTGCTTTTAAACAGTTTCACGTAAAAAGCGGACAGTTGGTGTTGCACCCTCTTTGAGGTCTAATAAGAAAGTCTCTAGTTTGGTGGACAAGGTATGTTGGTATTTTGTTTTTTATGAGCAAGGATCTTCACCATGAATGCTACATCTTTCCAAAATTAGCTCAAATTTATTATTTTATGTTGACAGTGGAAAGCAGCCAAAGAAGAGTTGAATGAGAATGAGGAAGATGAACCTAAAAGTGCTTATGAGATATTAGAGAAGAAGCGGCAAAGGGAAATTGAGGTGGGTAAATAATTGGTTTCCCTGCTCACGAGTCACTAGTATGGGCTATTTCAAGTCCTGATTTTTTCTTTTATTTTTTTATTGCAGGAATGGCGTGCTAAACAGATTGCCAGTGGAGAGGCCAAGGATAATGCTAACTTTCAGCCTCTGGGTGGCGACTGGTACGTTGTTCTGGTGCAAAATAAGATTTTTAGTATTTAAGATAATCTTAATTGGGGAATCGTAGAAAAGGTAAAACTACACTAATGCTTTTATTATGTGTATTAAAGCACAAAGTATCTATTCCTCTTATTTTTTGTAACCTGAAATTCTTGTTTTCAGTCTATATCACTTGACATTTAGTGAAAACAATCTTCTACAAAAATTGTTTGATATGGAATTACAAAGATCTGTCATGCTGTCTAAAGCCAAAATGCTTAAAACTATGTGTCATGCTGTCTAAAGTCAAAATGCTTTAAACTTTCTACTTTATTTGCACAATGGTTGCCTTGCTTGCATTCTGATCTTCCTTTTCTTTTGTCCTTCCTTTTGTTTCTGGTTTTCCTGTGTGGGCATGCACTTGTGAATTGTACACATGGTTGGAGCCAAGCACATTGTTTCTTTCTTAATTTTATCTCAGTTGAGTATTGTAGTATGCATTTTTGTTCTGTTCTTATAGGCGTGAGCGAGTGAAGCGTAGGAGAGCTCAAGCAGCTAAAGAAGCTGCAATGACTCCGCCAGAGGCCCCAACTGACAAAAACAAGCAGCCTGATTTAGAAGAACTCTCAAGGGGCCTTCCATCTGGTTGGCAGGTATCTTTGGTATCATATCTCCACTCTCTTTTGATAGACATACCATACGTGCTAGGAACCAAAGAGGGGAATGGACCTCTTCCATTCGAGAAAGCAATCCATTATTATGAATTCGATGTCCAACATATAGGTCTTAGTTTGAACAATTTGATGATGGGTCATAAGCTGTTACTGTTTCTTCAGTAGTCCCTATTTTGTCATGTGCGAAGTTTGAACTCTAATGCATTGCAGACGAATAAATAACAAGACGACCAATATGTAGTAGAATATCCAAAAATGCATTTTGTTATTCTTATTCTTATTATTATTATTTTTTTTTATGTTCAGGTGTATTGGGATGAATCATCAAAACAAGTCTATTATGGTAATGTCATCACCTCAGAGACAACCTGGACCAGGCCAACGAAATGAGTTGCCATTGATTTTGAGAGCTGTCTAGTTTGTAGTGTATTCATTTTTAGGTACTGGCCATAAGGACTTGTTAATTTATTTTTTCTTTAAAATATATTCACTTGCCACTCTTTCTATAGGAATAGCCAATTGTCACGCTTGTTTCAACTCCCAACAGTTTTTGGAAAATAGAGTAGCATCAATTATTTACTTCTCTCTACCAAAGATCGTATTTCAAATTTGTCATGTACTCCTAAAAGAGATCTGATCTCAAAGTTGGGATAATTACAAGGTAAGTGCATGAAATTTTGTAACTTTTTTCTAGTCAAGGGTTGTATTTTTATTTTTTCTGTTTGATTTTTACTCAGTTTTAAATATTTATCAATTAAATATTTCTAATGTGATTTGCAACTAAGTATTTGTATTCTTCTTCTTCTTCTTCTTATTATTATTATTTGCAATTTAAGTGTATAAACTTCTAAAAATCTATATATCAAATATATTGAGTAAATATTATATCGAGTAAATTCCAGTTAAGTGAACTGTTAAATTGAAATGCCGCATGGTGATGTGCTTGTCAAGTGTCCATCTTTGGGTCCATTTGTCGTGGTAAAGAAGACATTTGACAGATAAATCTGCATATTTTAATGACAAAATTTGAAAATTATAATCATAAATAGCGAAATAAAGTACAGATAATTAGAAAGAAATGAAAAATTAATGCAGTACTCAATTTCTCAAAATAATAATAGTAAGAAAAAGAAGAAAACGGATGTGAAGACTTTTGAAGGTAAGCTATCAATTTTGAATTGGTAATTATTTTGGTCCTAAAACTGTTACTTTCAATGTACTTAATTTCTCTAGTATCTTAGGGTTGGTTTGGCTCCGAAAATGTGGTAGTAGTAGTAACTGGCTGCGGTGGGAGACTGGTGGTGGCAGTTGGAAATAAAAAAAATGTTGGTGTAACTGGATGGTAGTTATGGATAATACAAAGAAAAAGCTATACAGCCATCAAAATGGAGCTTCTGAAAAAAAAAAAAAAAAAAAAAAAAGAAGGAAGCTTTTCAGCCTTTGACAAAGGATGGGTCCCAAATTTAGGTTTTGTTTCACAAAACAGGGCTGATACTTTTTGACCGAAAAAGCCAAAAAGAAATCTATGGAGCTAAACAGGTACTAGGTATGGAAGTGTAACTTTTAAAGTAGGGTACAAAGCACACGTAGAAACTTTTGAAGTATCTGGCAGGTTCGTAGTTTTAAATAACGTTTGCTACATGAGGTAATGGTTATATACATAGTATTAGTTAACGTTATTCGGGTTATGGATGCTTCGTTGTGGTTTCCCGATTATAAGGACGTCATTATTATATAACATCATTATTTATCGCTATATAATGATATTATATTAAGAAAAGGCTTGTACTCACTGTAGGGAAGAAGGAGAGACAGGGAGGGAGACTGGGAGGTAGGGTAGAGGAATATCGGCGGCATAAAAAAATTCAAATTTTGAGCAAGGCACATGAGCCTTTTTCTTAAACCAAAAAACTATTTTTGGGCCATGTTATGTAATTGGGTCCATAATAAATAAATAACTAATACAATTCTTTTTAGGCATATTCTTTTTTATTTAAGTGATAATAAGGCCTCGCTTTAGAATTATATTTTTATTTATTTTTTACTTTGTATAATTTAAAAAATTTAAAAATATATTTTTATTGCACAAAAAAAATATTATAAGTTTTGATTAACTATGCAAAATTTTCTATTTTGGTTAAACGGGATAGTACACACGACAAATATATTCATTCATTCATCAGAAGTCTATGGACTATTTTGGACTACACAATGAGAAATAACTTTTCTTATTTATATAATTATTAAAAAAAATTAGGAGTTATTAAGACTTGAATTTTATTTGAAAAGCTAACTAAATAAACGCTAAGTTAAACTTATTTTTATACAGCTATATACATGACAAGAAGAGCTCAAACTAAGAAGATGTTTGATAACTTATTTAAGTAGTTTAAAAAATTAAGTTGTAGTACTTAATATAAAAAATTTATTTAATAACTTAAATAATCTCATATTAAATTTTTAAGTTTAGTCAAAATTTACTTAATTAAATAAATTAAAGTTTTTAACTTATTATTTTTTTATTATCACACTCAGTTGATAGATTTTAAAAAATTTTCAAATATGACTATATCACTCTTATATATTCTTATTATTTTAGTTATACAAATCAACTGAAAAACAATCTCTATTATCCTCATTGTTAAAATAAAAGAATCTTTTTTGTTATCGGTATTTCTATCTCGAAATCTGAAAACATCACTTCTTTTTATTGTATCATAGGGAAAAGATAAAAGGATTTAGGTATATACGGATAAAAATTGCCTATTTCAAATCCATCGCAGGAAGGATTTGGTCGTCTTATTCATAGCATGATTGGCCGTATAGAATCTTTGATGCATGTAATAGAATCACAACAGAAACAAACGTTGAATAGGGTGCCATGTTCTTCTTCTTCTTCTTCTTTTCAATAAAGAAAGAATACTGTCTCCCCAGGTAAAGATATCCAGCTCATTGTACATCTGCTCTTTGAGAGCAAAATGATCTGAGTGTTTTGTAAGGATGGAATAGTCGTAGTCTTATAGGAGGATAAAGCAACTTTTTTTATTTACTCTCTGGGTCCTACATCTGATGCTATCGTGATGTTTTATTTTTCGAGGTTTTGCCTTGCACCATTATGTTAGAAAACGTATGTTACAGACAAAAGCACCAGAAATTACCTAAAAAATAATTTCTATCATTATGTTTTATTTTATGCATGATACGATAATTAATTTTATCTTAAATCATATTTAATTTTTACTAATAATCATTTTTATTGAATTTTATTTGTTTATTTATTTATTTGTATACACAAACATATTTATGTATAAATTTTCATTTGTGTTAAAAAATATCATATTATAATTATAAGGTTAAAATTATTATTTATATAGCCTTAATATGTTCAGCAACGAGTACGTATCAAATAAACTTATTATATTCAGCATTTAATTTTCAGTAAATACGAAACAACTTATCGAGAACATATTCGAGTACTTAACATATTCAGCACTTAATTTTTAGTTTTATCAAACACTCTCTTACTCGCGCTATACTACGGATGCAGTAGAAAAAAACCATTCTAAAATTTTAATTTTTTAATTATAATTTTCTATTTAATTAAATTTTTAATGTTTTTTGATAAATTTTTTGCTTAAAAAAACGTTAATCATTCTTCTTTATGGATTGATTTTAAAATAAAAAATAAAATGAGTTTAGCTGAAATATTAATCAAGAATTAAAAAAAAAACTATAAAAATATAATTTTTATAGAATTGTATTCCAAAAAATAAAGTTATAATTAATGGATAGACTTTTACACAAATTAATAAATGAAAAAAATTTCTTATTTAATTCTAATGAGAAGATTAATTTTTAAAATTATCCATACAACACTATGAGTAGATAGAACAAAATCATTTAAATTTTTTAAAGTTTTTATTTAATTATTACATTTTTGTGTGTGTTTTTCATAATTTTTTTGCTTAACAAACATGATTTATCCTTCTTTATTTAGTGATTCTTAAATAAAAACTTATAATAAATTAAACCTGAAATATTAATTAAGAATTCAAAAGAAAATATTTTAAAATTATATTTGTTTATAAGAATGTATCAAAAAAATAAAGTTACAATTAATGTATAGACTTGCATAAAAATTAACCAACAAAAAAATAAAAATTTATTCTTATTTAATATTGGTGTGAAGATTTTTTTTTCTTCAAATATATGTATTAGATCTATATATTTTTTTTACAAACTAATCAACAAAATTAACATAATAAACTATATTTGAATAATTGGTTGGTTCCTTTAAAAAATTATTTTAATTATTTTATTTCAAATAAACCGATTCTATAATGTTAAGAAAATATATTCATAGTAAATAATTTGTATTATGTTGCAAGATGTATAGTTAATTTTTAATAAAATTAACGATTCAATAGCTTTTTATATGTCTTAAAAATACATAGTGAACTCGAGATAAATTATTTAACATACATTTTTAACCTTTTAGAATAAAATAATTATATATTTATATATGCGCAGCTATCATTTAAAAATTTTAAGAATTCATGATATATATTATACTAATTTACTTTTTCAAAAAGAAAAAAAATCATGTTTTGCAATTTTATTCTAAAATTCAAATATAGAGAAAAATAAATTATATTTATCAGTAAATAAAATCTTATATAAAATATTAATTGGATGAGAATTTTCATAAAAAATGAAAAATTCAAAGAATGAAATTTAAATGATAAGAGTAATATAAGTCGAAGTATATGTTATTTTTAAAATATAAAAAGATAATGTGTTTATTTAGAAAAAAGTGTTAAATTTGCATATTAATGTCCAAAAACACACAAAAATTACTTAAATTGACATTAAGTGAATAGTAATTTTATGCATATGAATAGTAAGTTAATAAGACTTTTAAATATGTGAATATTTTGGATTCTCATGCTATGTCTGCAGACCGAACTAAATATATTTATTTCAGTTTGATAACAAATATTATGTTATCGGTTAATTAAAAAATATTAATTAAATATAAAAGATAAATTTTAAAGTAAAAAAAATATGATTTGTCCTTTCTTATGCATTTATTCTTAAATAAAACCCATAATAAACAAATTTCAATATAAAATTTTTTAAAAATATTTTAATATTTTTTTCATGACATTTCATCGAAGAAATAAAGAAATAATTAGTATAAAAACTTGTATGAAAATTAATATATGAAACATTTTTATTGATAAGAAGATTATTTTTTAAAATATATACATTTAATTTACGTATATTTATTTACAAAATAATGAATAATATTAGTATACAAAATTGTATTTGAATTATTAGGCGGTTATTCTAAAATATTATTTCAATTATTTTATTTAAAAAATCATTTTACATATTAGAAAAGTAATAGTGAATAGTTGGTATTGTATATATATATAGTTGATTTGTAATAAAATCAATGACTCTAACGTTATTATTTTTGATACATCATAACCATGCTCAATAGGTGAGAATGCATAAAATAAATTAAAAAATATTTTAAAAATTAAATGGTAAAATATATATTGAAGTTAATAGAGTATAGTAAAAACTATAAAGCTGATTTCGATAAAATTTGATTATGTAAAAAATAAGAAAATAAAATACATTTATTCAATTTTTAAAATTTGATTATATAAGAATTAAAAAAATAAAAATAGGTATTAAAAAAAATATTCGAATCCATACATAGATAAAATAAGTCATATTTATTAATAAATAAAATTATAAAAAAATAAGAATAAAAATTAACTTGATGAGATTTTTTATAAAAAAAAATCAATTTTAAACAATAAGAGTATTTTATATTTATTCTAAAATCTAAAAATATATTGTACAAATATAAAAAATATCGTATATATTACATAATTATCGATTTATGTTGAAACAAAATAACAATTGATTTTTTAAAATTTTAACACCTAATCAAATAAATAAATAAAAAGAACATTAATTGATGAAAAAACAAAGGGAAAAAAAGGCATGAGTAGTGTTATATAATTGTCGGTTTGTAAGAAAAAAATAACGATTGATTTTTCAAAATTTTAACACTTAATTAAATAAAATAATTTTTTAGAGATCAAAGTGAAACAATCTGAAAATTTTAAAAAAATAAAAAAAATAAATTGATGAAAAAAAACAAAGACACAAAAAGGCATGTATAATAAAACAATTTGAAACAAAAAAAAAGAAAAAAGAAAAAAGAAAAGAAAAACATATCATAATAAAATCCAAAAACATATCGTATAAATATAATACATATCGTATATGTTATATAATCGTTAGTTTGTATAAAAAAAGTAATGATTGATTTTTTAAAATTTGAACACGTAATTAAAAAAAAACATAAATTAATGAAAAAAAAGAAAAGAAAAAAAAGACATGAGTAATACACCGAGTTAGGGATTAAAATTTTTATTTTAAAATTTTAGAGACAAAAATGAAAGAACCTAAAAATTAAAAAAAATAAAAATTAAAGAAAAAAGAACCTAAATTGATGGGGAAAAAAAGAGGAGAAAAAAAAAGACACGTATTCACAATAACTTAAAAAAAAAGGAAATAAAAAAGCGAACAGTACTCGAAAAAAAAAAAAAAGGTGAACCGTGGATGAAAAAAAATTAATAAAAAAAAAACCTAATTTGATGGAAAAAAACAAAAGGAGCAAAAAAGAAAACAACAAATCGAAAAAAAACAATAAACAGCACTCGAAAAAAAGAAAAAAGGTGAATAAGATGGTAAACAATCATAACTCCACGTCTTTTATATATATATATATATATAAAAGGTGAATAAAATTGTGAACAATCACAGCTTACTGTCTTTTAGATATATAGCAACTATGGGCTGACCTGAATGGAAAACCAGGCTTATCTTGTTTAAATAAAGTATTTTTCTTGTCTGGAGTCTGAAGAAGCGTCAAGTACCTTCGGATTGGCCTCTCTGCATGTCTAGAGTAAAGAAGCTTCATGTGTTTAAAACCCTTGAAAACAACTCCTAAAAGTTACACACGGTTCATGAATAAAAATATTTTTCTTACCAATAGTGGAATAGAATAATAGCTATTGTCTAATATTATTAAATTATATCACAACTTGTTGAAATGCCACCAATAACTGCATGCTTTGTGTAAATAATGGATCGATAAAGTTGTAACATTTTTTGCTACAATCTGATGCTGCACCTATTTACCTGGAAGATTCTCCTTCAATAGTCTCTGAAATTGGTCTTTGCTAGTTAATTAATTATAATGGATCGATTGCATTAGGCAGATGAGATATATTTTAGTGGATTGGGTTTTGATGCTAAGGACGTGGCGACAGTACTTATATATATATATATATATATATATATATATACTGAATGACTTTTCTTATAGCAGCCTCTTGAAATTCTCCATGACCAGTTTCTCAATAGATTCAGGACACCTTCTGATTTATTATGGGAGGTTTCCTTTCCCCTACCAGCTTCACAAGTACTCCTCTCAGCTCTACGTGTCACTCTCATCAGCTAAACTCTTTCAAGTTTTCTGGCTTTGACAATATGCCACATTTTGGCGTTCATGCTAATGTAATAAGCCAATGAAATGAAGTAATTTATATGAGAAAGCTGATGAATTACTTCTGCACATTGTTCAGGGGGATGTGGTAAAAACCAACGAAGTTACAATTGTCAAATCATAAATTTTGGATCACCATCACCTGATTGGGTACGTTGACATCAACCCTATTGTTTGAACCGTCCAGAAAACTAGAGTGTAAGATCTTTGGAAAATGAATATTGATCATATTGCAGGTAAAACCATCCATGCTGGCAAAAAGAGATCATCGGAAATTTATCATCGGAAGAAGGTTATCATGGAAAAAGGATACCAGAAACTTAGTTTTGCACTATTGTGTCAAAGTGGTGAAAAAAAAAGAAAAAAAAAGGGAAATAGTTGACCAATCTGTATATGAATCCATGGCAAAGCGTCACATACTTTAGTATTTTTATTGAGGCTTCTGCTACTATCTGCCTAACCACTATACTATCTAACTGAAGTACTTCTGTGGTTATAGTAAAAAAGCATACAGCACATCAAAGGACCTGAAAGATTATTGATTGCAAATAATAATTATTTTTGCTTTTCATCTCATTCTACTTTCCTGGGACTGCTCATTCTCCAGATCTTTTAAATAACCTAGAAAACCAAGAAAGCCGAAAAGGAAGAATCCACCAGACGAGTTTCCTCCACCACCACCTCCACCACCGCCCCCACCACCACCAAGATAGGGTGGGAGACCAGGTCCTCCATCATCTAGTCGTGGTGTCTTGTTTGTTTCTGAAGTTAAATTAAGCCACTGAAGTTAGACATCTATAAATTTACCAAAACAAAGTAGCTTACAAGAAAATTAAATATTTAACAAGCACTGCCGAGATGTTATGATGTCAATAAAATTTATCATGCATTGAAGGAAATGAACAAAAGGTGATAGATCTAGGATGATACATTTTTTGCATTGGTCCCCAGGCGTAGTTTCAACAATTCAAATAAACTACATGTAATTCAGCATAGCAAGAGATTAGGACAAGGTGAAATGTTAAAGTGCACAGAAACTGGCCAAGGGAAACCCACATGACATTTAAAATTGATGCATGCTTGTTGCCATCCATTTTGGAAACCCAAAGAAATTGCCCATCTACAACTAGCTAATTCTCACCCTTTAATTTAGGTCATAAAGCTGGATCAGTCACAAGGCTGCCTATTCTGTAGTATGCAATTTGGCAACATATATGCAATCGGCTATTACCTTTTTGAGGAGCTTTGGTAACTCTGGGTGCCTTATGGATAACGGTTTGAGTTTGCCCTGAAGCAGAGCATCTTGCATTCTACAAAAGAGAAAAGGTGAGTTCATGTTTCTCAAAAAATAAAATAAAAATGATATTGCGTGCACGTGCACGTGCACGCGTAAACACACACACACACATATGTGTGTGTGTGTGTGTGTCTTTCTATATCTATTGATGCTTTTCTAGAATAGACAGTTAATAGTTGGTTGTTACGAATTATATTATCCTTCCATCAATAGATTAACTTGAAGACATCAGGACATAAATGACTGTAAAATTGACAAGCTGACTCTTCCCCAACTCTTGCAATGAGGAACTTGTAAATTAGTTTTTTCTTATGCAAATTCATACATCTAAATCAAACTAAAGGAACAAGACGCTCATAAGCCCCAAAGAAAAATTTACAAGCAGAAACAACCAATTAGTTTCTCACTTCCAGAAGCTTCAAAGGGTGTAAATTTCTTGCTTTCACAAACCTTCTAAGTTTGGCTTAGATCATCTGTGTTTTCTTCTTAAGAACGCAAATAAGAGATGAAAAAATAGCTTATGTAAAGAAAATGCTATAGTTCTTGCTGATTGCTGCACTAACAAACAAGTTTTTATAACTGTAAAAAGCAAGTGTTCCGTAATTTCAATTTACAGTGCAAACATATCAAGGTTGCATGAAGTATAGATATGTTATCTCACCATTGCAGCAGCACATGTAATAGAAGGTGACTGCTTTCTATTCAAATTTATTCTCCTTTCAATAGGTAGTAACTGTGTTACTGAGCCAGATACTGCAAGCTTAAAATGTCCTCTTTGTGCGTCAAGAGATTTAGTCTGCATCGAAACCCTGACTGGACCAGAATTTGTTTGCTGATTTTGGCTTTTGTATTGGCCCCTTGTTTTTGCTGTGCACAAATATGCAATCAACAGTAGCTTTTAAATCAACACATGGAAATCAATCTGACAACCTTAAACAGACAAATAAAGAGTGAAATGAAGTAATAAAACCCAGCTAGAGTCCAGGATTCAGTAGATATCTATTAATATTCAAAACAAAAGTTTGCCTTTGCTTTCTATAATCAACAAACCCAAATCAATCTATGATGCATCTAAATTTTTGATTGTTAACACACTGGTGTAAAATCTAGAAAATACCAGTCCCAAGCCTACATAAATGACTATATATGTATAAAAAGTGCTAAACTAGAGGAAAATATACCTGGTGCTGATAGAGGTAATAAAGTGCTGGCATTAGTTGCAGTGGACACCGACATTTCAATTGTAACAGAGGAAGAGCCCTGAAAATTTAGCTGTTTGCATTAAAAATGATCTCGTGATGAATAAACCATCACCAAAAGCAACATTAAGGGCAAAACCACAACATTAAAGCAAGTCAACTACAAAAAACCATTGTTCCAATAGCCCATATAATTTCAAACTGATTCCATAATAAAGTATAACATGCAACAAAAGGAACCAAGTATCTTCACATGATATTGTTACAGAGCAACTACAAATTGTTTTAAATTTTAAATACAAGGCTAACTGAAACTAACTTTTGTTTTTTTTTAAAAAAATCAAACAAACTAGATTCCACAAAAATCTCTTTAATTTTCTCATAACCCGAACCCAATTGATGCCCATCAGAAGCACAGACAAATGATATTATCATATTTTCACCACAAAAATACCACTATGAGAATGATAAAAAAAAAAAAAACCAATTTTGATTTGTTTTGATCGTGTGTACAAAAAAAAAAAAAAAAAAATCCCTTCTGAATTTCTGGTTAGGGTTCTAAAAAAAATTAAAAGTCAAAAGAACTGAAGTTTCCTACTGTACCTTGTCTCGAATTTTCTTGGAAGCCAAACAGAAATAAAATTAAGGGGAGAGAGAGAGGTTAAAAAGTTTGTACCTTTATGATTATGTGATCGGTGACGAAGCAAAGCGTTTTGGACGTTCAGGCCGCAGAGAATAAAGAGCGCGCAAACAAGGCGGTGATGATGACCCTGGGATTTTGTGAAACAGTGGCGCGACGTCGTTTATGGTTATAAACTTAAATTTTAATTTTTAGTGTTATATAACATATGACGGAAACAAAAAGAAATGAGACGTAAAATTTGAAAATAAAAGAAAATAAACCTATAAGAAAATTACGAAAATGTCATTATATAAAATTATAAGATTATCATTTTAATCAATATTGAACTGAGGTAAATGAATAATAAATAAATAGTATTTTATTATTAATTTATTTCACATCTTTTAGTTTTTTACTTAAATGAAAACAAAGTTTATTAAAAAAGAAAAAAGAAAAAACCAATAGCGGTATCCTTACATTATTAGCATAAGACAAATAGACAATGTCCTCTCTCATCGAATTTTAAACAAGTAAAACACACAGATGGGCACATTCGTAATTCCGAATAAAGGGCTGTATTTTTATAATAATATCCTCAACTAATCAAATTAGTATCATAATTCATTATAAAATAAAATAAAATAATTATTAGTTTAAATTCATGAAACGATTTCTTAATAATTATCCATTTCTACTCTGAGTTAAACAACTTGTATAAATTATTTCTTTGTTCCATACGATTTTCCAAATGCATCAATAAAAGCTAATTAATATTATTTGTTTAATTCTTTAATTTACAAGTAAAAATATTTCATGGGTTAGAAAATGATTTTTGAAAAAAACTGTTTAATTTCTTATGTTAGGCTATATCATAAAAAAAAAAAAAAGAGTTAAAAATCATCTAACCAAGTCTATTGGATCCAAGCAAAATGCTATACTATTTTTTACTTCTCTTTAGACGCTGCAATCCACGCCTCTCGGATTCTGGACCATTGACAAAGCAAATGTTCAAACTTGAAATTTTTCTGCCCAGACTAAAGATGGAACCATTGGTCACTAAGCCTTTTGGAATAAAAGAAATGCCATCCACTCAGGATTTGATCAGACTGAAACAAAACGTAGCCTTCTTTCCCTTTCATGCATAAACATAATTGGACTTTCATGGATAAAAGCTCTGCACCATGTAAATAAAAGCCTATGGACTTATAATATAATGAGAAAAATTCAATTACACGTAAGGAGCTGCTCTAACTTTCTATATAACTAAAATAACAGAGCTTTAGGTGTGAAAACCATTGTTTTTCCAAGGGATGGCCCCCCTTTTTTTTTTTTTTCTTTCAATAATTTATTTTTATCTTTTTATCATGGAATTAGGTGTGAAAAATAAAGAAAATAGATCTTTAATTTTTTTAGTTTTATGTATAGTTTGATGATAATAGGATATATATGATTTTTTTTATATATCTTTGTTTGAACATATATATCTAATTATATTACTTTTATTATTTAAAATTTATTTTTTAATTATTTTTTTCTTATTAAAATTCTCATTAAATTAGTTTTTTTTTAATTTTTTTGATATAATTTTTTTGTTAATAAATTTAGTTTTTTTATATGTTGATTTTGGAATAAAATTTAGAACGTGAGTGTTTTATTTTTTAAAATATATTATTATAATTTATACAATAGATTATTTTTATAATTTTTAAATGAGAGCAAGCATAGTTGCACATATATATAATTAGAATCTATCGAAATCAATTTTGTTGTATTTTTGAGAAAGAGAAAAAGAGCTAAAAGTGTTTTTTCAAAAAATTTAACTAATTATTATTTTTTTAAATTAATAATCAATTAAAAAAAACTCACGGGTTTTATTTGCTTTTTTATATGATTAGAAGTTATCGGAACCAATTTTATAGTAGTTTTTATTTTAATCTATTCACTTCATATATTTCATATAATTTAGGTAGACATATATATACATGAATAATTAGTTTTGTTAGAAATTAATTATTTATCGGTACACATAATATCAATTATTCATTTTTATTTTTTTGTTCTAAAATATGTATTTTTAAATAAAATAATTTAAATAATATTTTGAAAGAACCTTTCAATTATTCAAATACAAAATTTTATGCTAATATTATTAATTATTTTATTAATAAATATATATAAATCAAAATATTTTACTCAATATATAGATTCGATTTACATTAATCACTAAAAATAAAATTTTTGTACTTATATTATACTATATGAATCATTAATTCTATTTATATAGCGAGGTTGTTTCATTATAGCACGAGTATAGTGTCACGAGTATCTAACTAGTGCTTTCTAAAATTGAATTCCGTGCACACTTTGAGACAACGATGTCATGTCACCCCACTTGATTTGGACTCGTAAAAGGACTTTTAGTAAAAAATTTATTTTTGAACCAAGACCAAGTCGTCGACTCATCACATGTACCAAGCATGAAAACCTATTCCAAAGTGGCATACGTATGAAATAAACTTATAAATTACTTACCCCGAGATTTTTTCTATGCTAATCGATGAATACGTATTTATCATCAACCTTCTTCTCGTGAGTTTTCAAGAACACCTTGTGAGCATTGGGTTCATGACCCAACTCTTTACGCCAAAACAAATATACTTAAAAATGCATGTTGATGTTGCAATAATTACAAATAATAAATTATATATATTACCATTTGTATTGCGTGCTCTCCGTGGGTAATCAAACCTCTCGTATGTCTAGATGGGCCGGCCCCGATGCCACATGTCTCGCTCATGTGATTCCGGGCTACTTGCTCGGATTGAGCATGAGAATTGGGTTTTGTCCATTCTTTACGCCATGCATTCCATATGTCTTTTGAGATATATGTTGGTTTGGGGTGTCTCTTCATCCGATAAAGGAATTCGGAATATTGCTTTCGTGCAAGACTCGCCTTGCTTTCCTAATGCTTCGATCAAACTCTCGATCCCATATAAAGGACTTCGTAAGAACGTTAAAAATATTCATTAGTATATTTAAATAGACATTAATATTTCTTAATTTAAATATACTTGTCACATAATAAATTAAGCTACAAACTATCTTAAACTCCTCCTAATAAAAGTCTTTAGTTTGCTTAGTAATTGACTTTCATGTCATTTCGGATAGGTCAACATGCTTATGGAATATCTAATAGATCCGAAGAGAGTACATATCAGATGGATACAAGCTATCAAACAAGATAATTAACGATTAAATGAATGTATAAATATAATAATACATTAAAAAAATACACAATATGCACTCCTTGCCATCAAAGAGAGTAATTAAAATGCAAGGATCGTAAGTAGAATCAACGAGTGCGACGAGACAAACCAAAAGGGACTTATGCTTTGTTGAGCCAAGTACAAGAACACGAAGATCATCTTGTTGGGATGGGGGCCCTAATGACAACAAAAGCTCGAAGTGCCAAGATGTTGAGGTCTATATTGATGGAGCTTTGGTGAGACATGTCAAACGATGATGAGTTTGACATGAGGGTTGCGGGAGGATGGTATGTAGACATGTTGACGGGCGGTGAAGGGCATCCGACCTAGAATGAAAGTAGGACAATGCCCACATCCACGATCACTTGTCATCTTCAATGTCCGAACCATGATCGTCACCATATGATATAGGCCATTGCATGCGTGAACGTCCCCTACCATGAGGCATAACCTACACGTTATCACATTAATTATTTAATACAACACAATAACTATAAAACATCTATATTATCATAAACAAGTTAAAATGCATTTATTTTGTGATCAATAAACAATTTCATAATTAATTTAAAACACACACACACACACACACACACATATACACACACACACATGTATATATAAAGTTTTGTATTTGTTAAATTAAGTCAATTAATAGCTAATTTACTTATTTTAATAATTAAAAAACTTAGTTAACAATCCTACTTAATATTTTTAAGCTATATATATATATCCGTGTGTGTGTGTGTGTTACCTTAGGAATTTCAATTAAATTGTGGAGATAATCAAGCCTTACTTGCTACACTTTTTTGATCAGCATTGTTACGGTTTTCATCTAAGTCTTTCTCAAAATCTGTTTAATTAACAACTAATTTACTTATCTTAATAATTAAAAAATTAATTAACAACCAAATTAATTAAACTAACTCCTGCTTAATATTTTTAAACAACATTTAAATATTTTAAATAACAACTAATTGACTTAATTTAACAAATACAAAACTTAATTAACACCTATTTAATTAAACTAACAATAATTAATTTTTTAAAACAATTAAATAATTTAATTAACCATCAATTAACTTAATTTAATTAGCAAGTAAATCACTTAATTAACACATAATTAATTAAACTCACACATATTAATTT